GGGATTTTTTTTTTTAAGTGTACATGTAAATGTTTCAGACCCCTATGGAAACTATTTACATTATTTCAGAGGCAGACTGCTTCGACTCTGCCTGTCAGGATGAACATGAGTAGAGTACGATACGTTATCCAAGTAGAAACACTGTCTCAGAAAATGAACGATTTGAAGAGAGAATCGCACTTACGTCTCCTGCTAGAAAGTTCTTTAATTTAGTTTTAGTAAAAGTATTACGGCACTTGCAACACAATAAGGTCATATAAGTGCCGAGAATTAGAGGTGTAACAAGAGAGTTAGAGTAACAAACACAAAAAAGGGGGGGGGGGGAGATAAGGATGATAAGAAAGAAGGAGCAAACCACATCAGAGCACCCGCCAACTACCCACCCTGCTAACAAAGCCAAGGGCTCAAAGATTTACCCCCACATGGTAACTAAAACAATCAACAACACACAAAAACAACAATAGAAACATGATACATATAGTATATAGAAGAGATAAAATCGTAAACGAATTTGAGACGTTTCACGACACTGATGAACCTAATAACAAGCCAAAGAGTCGGAAAACAGGCAACGGAGATGGCTTCAAAAGTCAAATAAGAAGGCAGAATCAACGGCAGGCCATGCCCGTGACTCGGGACCACACCACCCCCCCCCCTGCCCCTTTTACAAGACAGAGAGGAAAAGCCTATCGAGCGGGGGGGGGGGGGATAATGGGGATCAATTGATAACTTCAGCATCAAGGTTACGGAGCGGGAGAGGGGTGAATGACTTTAGGAAGATGAGGGCAAAACCTCCCTGGTCTCACTCACACTCCCGTGTCGCGGTACACATCATATCTCTACCCCTGACACTAACTAACTAACGTAACCATCAGTCCGGCTGTCAACGCGTTTGTATTTATTAAGTTTGTTTAAAAGAGACCACGTCGATGTAGCGCAATTTTCTTTTAAATTAATAATTTTGTGTAAATGTTAGCGCCCGGAAAAGGAGCAAGGAAGGCCGGGGCAGAAATTAATATTGTTTTAGTCAGTTTTAGTAGAGGTTTTACGGCACTCGCAACTGCATAAGGTCATATGAGCGCCAGAAGATTAGAGGTGTTACAAGAGAGTAACAAACATAAAAAAGAAGAAGGGGAGATAAGGACGATAGATGTTTGATAGGAAAAAAGGAGCAAACCACACCAGAGCACCCGCCAACCACCCATTAACATTATGTATGCTGTTACCGACGAGTTTATTGCAAAAAAGACCCACAACCATACAACAACGGCCATTTACATTTTGTAGAGTTTCACGGCACTTACAATACAATTATGTCGTATAATGGCGAAGATCAGACGTGTTAATAAAGAGAGTCACAAACATATAAAAGAAGGATGAAAGAGACGAGGATGACATGTCTGATAGGAAAGAAGTAGAAGCAAACTACACTAAAGCACCCGCCAACTATCCATATTTTGTTTGTTTGAGTGCGCGATAACCTCATGGCCAGTAACACATCACTGTCCATTAAAATTTAGTGCCGCGGGAGAGCAAGACTACATTCAGACGGAAATAGACACACATAGAGCGGCAGTGGCCAATCGATAAATGCGCTTGTCGACAGCTCTCACTGCCCACACAAGCGGATTGAGCGATACCACACGAGGTGGATGGTGAAGTAATTTATATATATATTTGGATTTCTATGTAAAAACGCAGGTTCGGTCAGGGTTTTTTACGCCCCTCACCCCCCCCCCCCCCAAAAAAAAAATCCAGTCACAATTTAGATCATTTAGGAGACCGGCTCCGACTTGAGCTGAAGAGGATCTATCAAAAAGACAGATTTAAAATACTCGATTAAAAAGTATCCCCCATAAGGGAATCGAACTCGGGTGCCCTGTGTGAACGGCAAAGCTACAACATAGACGCTGGTAATGGTGAAGTAAAGAGTCCTTGCCTTGGTTTGAGAAAAGTAAAGAACATCGACCTAGCAACAATTATTGATTCTGGAGGAAAAGCTAGACAAGACACATACAGTAAGGAGATACAAATGCAACAAAAGAGGGACGGTAAAGAAGTGGGACCCGACAGAAGCGTGTGTGCCCCCCTCCCCACCCCCCAAAATAATGAGTCGAACAACAAGAGCTCTTATAAATAAATACTACTATCCCATGCCTGCTTGGCTTTGGCGGAAATCACGGGTCTTCTTTGCTATTTTGCTATTATGATTAAAAAATCCCACCAGGATAGAAGTTCTAATCTTCACTTGTGATTTTCACTCTAAAGTCAACAGACACAAGGTCAGCAAAAACAACAGTATGAATCATCCTTTCCGTTTCGACCCAGCCACTTGAATGCAAGGAAGATTTTGGTGAAATGTAAAGGAGTTGAGTATTAAATTACCAGCAGAGAGAGAGAGAGAAAGAGAGAGAGAGAGAGAGAGAGAGAGAGAGAGAGAGAGAGAGAGAGAGAGAAAAGAATGCTGAGAATATAATATAGGAACAGAAAAGACTGGGATACACAAAGTAAAGGAGCACACTACCACAGTGATGGTCAAATGTGAAGAAGTGGGCACAGCAGAGAAAGCTATTTATTGTAATGTGTCACTTGAGAACAAATACATACTATATGAGACTGGCTAAGCAAAATAAAACACGTAACATCTACTTAGCAGCACAAGAAAGTTGTTGAATTGGGAGTTTACTGTCTCGACACAACTGTTCAACAACAGCCACATTTCAATAGGAACAGAGTGTAGTAAGAAAAGCCAATATCAAAAAAGGAAAGTAGGAACAAATTTTTTTTAAAGAAAAGAAGAAAAAAAGAACAATAATAAACAACCAGACGCAAATACAAAAGAACCCAAACAATAAAGACAGTGTTTAGTGGTTTGTCTTACCTTATCAATGGTAAAATCCCATAAAAGACTCTCGATGTAATAATTAGTCCCTCCAACAATGACAGGTAATTTCCTTTGTGAAAGTAAATCCTCTATCTGAACTCCATTAAGGACAATAAAGTGGGTGAACAACACTCAGCTCACCGAACCATCAAATTGGCATTAATTCGAAAAAACAATGTGCCACATCTGGTCTTTTAAATAAAGTAAAACAATTTTATCAAAGGATCATGCAGTTGGTCATTCATTATTTAGAAACCCAGAAAATGTAACATAAAACACCTTACAAAAAATTTAGTTATAATAAGAAAAATGTTATGAATCTTTGTGAATAGACACATTCAACACTGTGTACTACTGAAATAGATGAAAAGTAGACGAGATGTGTAAAAACATGCAGAATACAAAGCTAATATTTTAAAACCCATTAATCATACAAACTTGACATATATTCGCAACTTCCTTTTTCAAACACTTAATACAAAACACAAAAGGATACGATAGGTTGAGCAGCATTTCGAAAATCCACCACGGTATAATGTTTGTAATCCGCATCAAGATAACTGATCATGTGGTGTTTACACTCACGCTGCTCCTCCTCCGTTACTTTATTTGTGATAATATCCAGTCCTTTATAGATCTGTGGAAGTAAAAATGTAATTTATTATTATTAAGCGTCAGGAAAAAGACAAAATAGATACATAAATTGTTAATGACAATATAAAATAATGAATGTGTTTCAAGCTGAGATCACATCTACAAAGGGCTAACCAAGCATAGATATTGTCATAGGGAAATTAATTCCTTCATGAGTAAAAGTATTTATCTCAACTTAAAGATGTGGCACATTCTCATGGAGCTAAAGAGCCACTATTTATGGATTATGAAAAAGAAAAACTGTGCACCTTGTGGCTATTATCACTGCATTAGTGAACAACATTCAATCTCTAACACAATCATAAAAAACGCAAAAAGCAATTTGTATGACACCTAAAAATGAGATTTCATGTAAATGAACAACATTAAAGTACCAGACGACACTGGAAGAAACCTGAACATTATGGAGACTCAGGCCTATATCTCAAAACTATTCTATGATAAACAATTCATTGAGATGCAAAACAGTGAAAAGGATGATAAAGTTGACCTACTTCAATGCACAAAAGATGGCAGTCATGATTTCAAAAACAAAAATAAAGAAAAGAACAGAACAGAAGAAAAAAAAAAGAAATTCATAAGAAGTAGAATATTTTAAATTTAAACCTAAAAAAAGGTTTTACTTTTTTAAAGTTTGCATTCCCTCTTGATACTGAGAATTATTTTCAGTCTTTCAACTACCAGTAAAAACAAAAGACTATAAAGCAGTATTATAAATTAATGCCTGTTGATCCTTACAGCGATAGGCTTTTTTAAATAGCCCCCATTTCCCTCTAGCCCAATAAAACTGGAGTCCTTGACTCCTCAGACCCAGCCCGAATTAATTATGTTCGCAATTTTTTTGCAAACAAAATGAATTTCTATACTTAGATATATGTTTGTTGAAGTATTAGAAGATAAAAAAATATGGAATATTTCTCCGAGACAATTAGATAGATCACGATAGAAATGACTTCCAAAGTTTGAGGCGGGCAGCGCCATGTGTGGGGAAAAAAATACATGACTGGGGTTGTAACTGTAAGAATTCAGTTTTAAAACCCCTCTCAATCGTTAAAAACCAAGGGAAGAGGCCAAGTCTTAAATACCACCAAAAAAAAACCCCACCATTCAAAGTCAGCAGTTTGAACAATCTAAGGCTCTAAATAAAAATGAAATCCTATCCTAAGAGAACCTCAGAGACAAAGGAAAAAAACTTTAAGATAACTTTCTCCTGTTTTTATAACATTTCTTTCCATTGTAAGCAACATCAACAGCATACTTTACAATCAAATTTTAAAACCTGAAAATGTTAAGAGAATTTTGGGTACTTCTGAAGTACTTATTGTCTTTTTGCGATCTATTAATTTCTAAGGGGGGAGATATCAAATATTTTCTGTTTATGTATTTGAACAGCCAATATCCTGCAATGATCTTTTCTAACCCATTTATTTTTCAAATTCCAACTTTTCCAGTTTAATTGACCTTTGAAAAAAAAAAAAAGATTTTTGCCAAATTTTGTAAAAACTTGGACTAAGAGAATAGAAAACCTTATTTGAAGCAAAATCACCTGGCAATAAAGCAGAGAATATTACAGCAAAAGTATTCTTTTCATAATTATCCTAAACTCAGCTGAACAGATCTTGAACAGTTTTCTCTAAAAACCAAAATTAAAAGAAAAGTATCATTAAATAAAATAATTTTTAGAAAAGGAAAAATGTCTTATTATCAGCCTCTTTTAAACTTTGCAAAAGCAATTTTTTTCGTTGGAGTTACGCTTGGTACTACATTTCAAGATTTATATTCTACTGCAACCAAAGATCATTGTGATTGTGAAACTGATTATTATTTTTAAATTCTGCTGAACAGCAAGCTCTAAGCATGTTACAATCTGTTATAACGCCCAGCAGACCTGATAGCATTTTAAAACAATCTTAGCTTCCAAGGAAGCATACAGTGCAAGCTGCCATTTAACGTCTTGCCTCACATCTTTGGGTTAGGTTATTATGCACAGCTGAATTCACTGCAGTAGTTTTACTTGTTCATGTTAACATATCAAAGATTCCAGTATATCATATCTTCTGCTACGGCCCAAACTTTAGTGTCAGTTTTGACGTAGAAATCTCTCAAAGGGCCAAATGCACAACAAGCCCCATGAGTTCATCATTTGAAGGAGAAAAAAATACATTCAAAAGATTTTTTTTTAATTTCTTTTTACCAATAAGAGCTTCAAACAAAATTTCCACAGCCAAAATAGATTACTTTCTTCTCCTGACAGCTTTTCCAAGACCATCATTAAAGGTCATTAACCAACAAATCCATCTCCAACAATTTCTCCACATTCCTCGTCATCTTTTTAAATCTTAATTTGTAATGCTTTCATTTTCACCGATATTTACTTTTATAATAACATCTCTCACCACACCTGATGTCCAAACATCAATTTTCGCAATACTTCATTTTGTATGTTTGCACACTTTTATTTTTCATTTTTTAAAATAATAAAAGCATTTAAAGGTCCACCCATTATTCTGCACAGAAAGCACATCATACCTTTTTAAAAGACGTCTTAATTGAGTGTACAATTGACTTTCATTGCAAAAAGCCAAAGTAAAAAGAAAGTGTTGTTTGTTTCAATGTCTTATCACCTGGAGAAACTCTTCACCACACTTTTACGCTGCCTTTGTTCTGTAAAAAGGCTACAGCCACAAATTCAATTCCACAAAATTTCGATCTGTCCAACTCTATTTTATTTCCTGCTCAAAGTGCCTCCAATTTTTATAAAGATCTACTAGATTTTTATTATTGATAAGGAGATTCAGAAGCATCGTTTGATCCTACTACCTCAGACTTTTCTGCAAGAAAGCTGTAACTTGAACATTTTCAATGAAATCTTCTGTAGGTCTTACACCAAGAAATAAAACAGACTTCGATCAACAAGGGATAGGCCTATAATCTTACACGAGTGTTAGTACGTTTAAGTCTCCAGAGGCCAGCTCTATTCGGACTCGAGTCCGAATATAACTTTTACCTATTCGGACTCGAGTCCCAATATGGGTTTTATATCAATTTGGACTCGGGGCCGAAAAAAAGGTTTTATTTATTCGGACTCAGCTTTTAAGCGAGTTATTTGAGCGTGAGGAGGTTACATTATATTGTCGTCGGGGGATTTTACATACATGTAGAATTAGAACGAGAATTGCCTACTAGGACTGTGTAATTGTGTCAAAAGTCAGAGGACTGCACTCTCATTAGATCTACCCAATGGCAGTGTTTAAGTACACGGTAACCGACAACGCAGGGTCTTTCCACCATCACTATAGCATCATCATTACTTCCACCACCATCTGTCTTTCCACATGTTTAATTTAATTTTGTTGTGCGTTACAGTTTTTCTGTAATTATTTTTTTATTATATCGCACAAAATCGACAGTCATGGCCTCTTCCCAACACCTCTTCCCCCAGCAAGCAGAGAGTGCGAGATCACTAGGCGCAATCTCATTGGTCTACATAATTAACTTTGCCCCCAGCAAGGTCAGCTCAACTTCGTCATTCTGTTCATACTAATGATGCAGGGTGTGCCAGTTTAGATAGATCTAGATCTAGTAATTGGATATTAAAGCTCCCGTCTTGACTGTTATCATTATAATTTTTTTTTAAGTTCGTACATGCTGGAAATATTTAGGAACAAGGAGCAGAAGTCGGAACGGATGTGATGCTGGACTCAATTCAGAGTCTGAATATAATTTTTCTCTATTCGGACTCGAGTCCGAATAGTTACTTCGTTAAGTGAAGTGTAAGTGCAGTAAAAAAGAATGCTGTTTATACCATACACGCAAGAAAAACTATAGAGGCCTCTTATAAAAACAATATCATGTACACATGTTTCTCATCACGATCATGTTTAAACAAGCACAGTACAGCGGTTGCACTCATGACTAAGATGACAGAACACTTCATTGTAATACTTCTGTTCCTAATTCATTTTTTAACCACTAAGGCATGCATGTGGTCTTTTACTTCAGACGCCATGCCATACATCGTCGCAGCCATAAAAAGCCATTTATAACGTAGAAATAAAAAGACAAAGACTTAAGAAGAATAAAAATGAAAATTCCTTAGCGCCTTTTTTGCGAATAATAATAGAAGACAGCCTAGATTCTAGTTTTACATTAAAGAATCACTACTTTATAATGCCAACAGTTATAATGTTAAAACAGGAAAGAGGGAAAGGTTGTGATTGCTACTAAAGAAATATCTGTCTCACACACTAGATCTAGAATCTAGTTGGAACAAATCAACAGCATGGCATGGCATGGTCAATGTCAAAACAGGCTAGAAATCTAGTCTCAAACAAAAACAGAATATTAAAACCTTGTAGTTGTCTTACAATACTAAGGTAGGTCCTGCTATTTCCCGTTCTCTCTTTCTCGTCATCCGTTAATCAGTTCAACAGAGGTCCATAAACGAGAAAATATACAATGTGAGTGAAGATCAATGTCAAAAAATCAAAATCGATCGATCCACATGCAATCACTTGTGATCGGGAATGGAACTGCTGTGCATGCACACACGTGCTATAACAATATAAGATAAGTTACAAACAAAGAATGCAAAATAAATCATAAAAAGTTCTCACCTGCATTGAATCGGCACTAATAATTTCGCCATTAAAAAGTTTTGCTATTTCAAGGGCTAACTTAGATTTTCCAGCGCCAGTAGCCCCTAATACAACCACGAGAGGTAGTCTGGTGGCGGCCATTTTTAAAGTAAGGGGAAGTAAGGAGCATGGAAAACAGAACAGGGCTAAATATAGCGGAAAACAAGGAATGAATAGGAACCGAAACGAAAAATCCTGTTCATGCTTGGCTGTTAGGCCTTGTGTTCCTCGGCCTAGACTGTGCTCCTCAAGAAACAGAGAATTGGAAAGTCAGTTTTAAGGGCGTCGAGTTGAGTTAAGAGGTTTAGGGTAACGATGATTAAATCTGTCCTCTTATTTATTGCACAGCTACATGTGTTTTAAAAATTCATTTGTAGAAAACTCCGTTCTAAATGCGGAATAACAGTAACAGTAATTAATAGCCAACAGAAAAGAGAAAAATCTATAACTTTTGTTTCCCTCTAAATCCACTCTCTTTCCAACAAACTTCAGATTGCCTCCAGTTGCATACCGTTATTAGGGACTGAATTTTGAAAGAAACAGGTTTTTTAAAGTCAGAAAGAAGAAGCTTGTTCGTTACTTTTTATTACGAGGGATGTTGTTAATGCGAGTCCACGTGCTCTTTGGTTGTGAAGTGCCTCAATGTAAATCAGTCGACAAGATCGCCTGAAACTGAAAACAAACACGTTTTGTTTTTATGGCGACCGAGTCGGGCGATCGGCCGATCCCATCCGTAGTGGGCACCCCGTATTACCGACAAGTCGGGCGCAATCGGCTTGTGCCACGATAGCCGCTTTGCGCCTTCAATCTGGCTAGCAAACCGCCCCGACCGGACCCGATACGCCAATGGGCACCCCGTCCAATAAGACAGAACTGTCAAAATCACCTGCACACTCACCCCCGTCCCCAA